GTGTAAATCTCTTACCAAATAAGCATAATATATTTTAAACCGGTTACAATGCATATATATTGCATACATAATTAACTTTTTAATACACATTGTTAATTTATCATAGTATTACTATAAATAGTAATAAATAAAAAATATCACTAAAATCAATAATTATATTAAAAAAATATTCACCCAAATAATCTTTCAACAAAAAATGTCCATTAGTCACAGTTCCGCTCCAGATCAGTGAGAGTAGTGAGCATATTAAATGATGTCTTAGTCGTGATACTAATATATATATATATAAATTGAGGCACAAATAAATAAAAAGAATCTTTAGTTAGATTAGTAAAATTAGATCATGACATCCTCTCTTACTTCATCAATACTTTAAACAAAAAGTGGTAAGAGGTCGAATCTGGTGAAGGTTCATTTGATGCCTCAATAAAATTAATATTAGATTAAATTAAAATTTGTCAACAACCCTTGGGGTTTTAATATGAGTTTTAACAACTCCAAGTAACTATATTCATTTACCTTCGCATAGTAATTAATATATGTAATAAAAGAAAACATCTATAAATCCCCCACTAGACCTCTCTCACTATTTATCCATAAATCTTAATTAAAATGGAAAGTGGTAATGCATCAATGGAAAATAATGTTAATGATATTGGGCTTATTAATTATTATTACAATGGAGCAAGAAATGCTTGGTCTTCTTGTCCTAACAAAAATAAATAAATAATAAGATTAAGTGAATTGAATGAAATAATTATTGTCGATTCACAAGCATGGACAAACATTAAAATCTTCTAAAATGAAGGAACATATAATACATTCTCAGAAGAAAAGAAATGCTAGTCCATCACCTGTGACGAACCACTGTAAGGAGATGAAGATGATAAAAATGATCGATTGTTCATAACACGCACAATACTTCCTCCAAATTCATATTGGCAAATGATTTCGATAGTAAATTTAAACCATATGAATGATTGAAATGATTCCTACACTCCAAAGTAGTGTGCTTAAAGTGGAGGGATAATGTCCAAGTAGCCCCTCAACCTATGTCCAAAATCACAGAAACACACTTATACTATACTAAGGTCCTATTAACCCCTGAACTTATTTTATAAATAGTTTTCTACCATTTTCAGCCTACGTGGCACTAGTTAAAAAAAAAAAGTCAATCATCATTGGGCCCACAAGATAGTGCCACGTAGACAGAAAAGGGGCAGAAAATTATTTAAAAAATAAGTTCAGAGGTAATAGAACCTTAGTATAGTATAAGTGTGTCAAGGTGGAATATTAGTAAATTGTTATTTAATTTTTGTCAAGGTGGAATATTTTATTCAGTGAAATGTTACGTGTCAAAGGTTTTTTCAAATAAAAAAGAGTGTATTATACACACACCAATGAAATGTGTTTCTCAAACTAAAAGACGATAGTTTAGGTATGAAACTCGAATAAAGATCCGGTCAAATATAATTAGGTCAAGTAATGTTCAATGACCTTATAAATTCATGCCATGTATACTATAAAATAATTTATGGTTGAGATTGATTTAAATTATATATTCATCTTAATAATAAAAACAACGAAAGTGTCAATTTTTTTTATTTCTTAATACTATCAAATAAAACAATCAAGTGTATCATAGCTAACATTTTCAAGAAAAAATAAGACTACAAAAATATGAGTACTTTCCGACTTTTTAACCTGCCAAATCTCATACTTGTATTGAATTTTTTTGTATTATACTAATTTTAAAGAATCTGACGCTTTTGAAAATTCTGAATAAATGTATTTTTATAATTACTTGAAAACCTCCAATTAAGTATTTTTTTTATAAAAAAAATGTATTATCATGTTCTTATGTTGAATTATTATTTAGAACTCAATTATGTTTTTAAGTTTGATCTATTCTTGGAGATTTCTTCAGAATTTGGAGATGGCATGTGTGAAATTACTCCTGAACAAGTTTGTCGGGTAAAGAGTCAGAAAGATTGCGTTTTCCCATCAATCTTAATTTTTTTTTGTGAAAATATTAGTTTGGATACACATAATTGCTTTATTTGATAGTTTTAAAAAATAAAAAATTTGACAGCTTTGTTGTTTTATAATTATTATTAATGAGCATATAATTTAAGTTGATCTCAACTATAAATTATTATATAGTACACATGGCATGAATATGTAAGACCATTGAACATCACTTAACCTAATTATACTTGACCGAATCTTTACCCATGAAACGTACACTATCGATAATTTAGGTATGAAATAAAAAGAAGGGATAATTTATGTGTGTTTTTGATACTTATCTCAAAATAAGATTATATTAGTTATTTAGGTTGTTCACTCTCTTTGAGAGAGTGTACACACTCTCTATGTAAGGTAAACAAAAAAAATGATATAATAATATCAGTTTAATATTATTTACTGGGTAATAGGACGCTCACATAGTTAAGATTTTTTTTTTTGAAAATACGGGACAAGTTCATATGACACTCAATGTATTTTCTCCAAATATAAACAACTCAAACACATATGTTTTTGTTGTATAGATTTTTTTTTCTTAATGTCTTCTTAGTTGTTGATATTCCATTATATTGTGCATCCACATAAAAAAATAGAAATAATTGGAGAAAGAGAATTAACTTTGTAATACCATTGGGTAGAACTTAAATACGGTATTACTTAATACTGTATCAAATTAAAATTTAATTTATCAATCATCAAAATTACCAAGACGAAATTTAAAAAATTGATATCTACATTTAACTATCAACACCGAATTTAAAATTTGAGAATCCCAATCCGAAACGCCCACCTCTATCCAAAGTCATTAATTTTTGAGATCATACTCATACTCTATTAAATTAAGTAAATCAAGTTAATATATGATTGTTAGTGGCGGCAGACGGTGTGCTTGTGTGACACAACTCGTTGCACAACGCAAGCACGAGCTTTTATATTTAATTGGATAAAAGATTCTCATATAGAAAATTCCATCCATGGGCTTAGCTTGTGTCATGGGTTTTTGCAGTGGTTTCAGCATTAAATTAGATAACGGGGTACTTATATTGTTAAACAAGAAAGTATAGTAGAAAGTAAAAAGTAAATTAAATAATGCTACGACTATTAATTTTCTTGAAAATGGGAATAGTAAAAGGTAAAAGTTACAACTTAAGTCATTTCTTAAGTGTTATCTGTTCTTTCGAACTAGGGATAACAAATAAGTGAATTAAATTAGATTGAATTTGAATAAACGAAATATAAATTGAATTAAAATGCATTGGATTGCAAAAAAAAAAAAATAGAACTTTTTTCTATGAAAAAATTTGCCAACTCTACCCCCACCCCCATCTCAGGACACCTCCTACCAAAAAAATTTCCAAAAAGAAATAAATTGCCTCCGCCCACAGCTCCCCCCTCCCCCCTATCCCCCCCACCCCAACCCAATATTTTATTTTTGTTCTCAAAAACAAATAGGGCAACTAGAGATTTTTATCATAAGTTAGTGTGTTATATGAGTATATGGATATTCTCATTTTACCCATTTTGTTCATAATATTTGTATGAACTTAAACAGGTTAAAGTTTATATTATCCATTTAAGAATAGAAAATTACATAGAAAAATTAATATATATTGGTTGCTTAGCTAATATAGCTATAGTTTGAATCAATTACGGCTCATAACTTAATTTTAGATGTAATTACGTAGCAGGTCCTCTTTTATACACACTATTGCTCTCCTCTCTTCTCTCTTCCAATCTCGTTCGCCAGACACACACACTTGCTCTCCTCTCTCTCTCTATCGATCTCTCTCTCGCGCACACACACAATCCCCTCTCCCCACTCCCTCCCCTCTCTGCTTGTCTCTCTCCTCCCTTTGACATTCTTGGCCGCTATATCATATACAAATAAATATATATACCAGTTACATATATATCATTATTTGATAGCTATACGTACACGATTTAACATATATACATATACATTTCGCCTCTCTCCAATCTCTACGTTCTCTCACTCGCCTCTCTTCTTCCTCTCCCAATCACTCCTCTCTCTGACATGTAGCTATGAATGAGAATTAACAAACTATAGATATGAAGCATAATTAAGTTACTTTTGAGTGACTATATGTGAAAATTCTCCGTTTAAAAAAATATGAGTGATGGCCATTTCATTTAATTAATATGGGAAAAATAGATTTATTTCACTTATATGTATTGAAATTGTCATCCTTTGTACACAGTATAATTTTGGGAAACTTATATAAATATACTATATTAAGAAAATACTTATTATTTATAGCAACAACATTTGATCACTTTTAATACATTTATATTACAGTTTTAATACATATGATAGAGAACAATTTATAAAAACACATATAATACAACTTCTATTGATGAATAATGCATTTATCACATTTTAATATAATGTGTAAATTTCTTATTAATCAAGCATGATATATTACATACATAATTCATTTTAATACATATTACAGATTTATTATGATATTACGATAAATGGTCATAAATAAAAATATCACTAAAATTAATAATTATTTATTAAAATATATTTATCTAAGTAATTTTTCAATAAAAAGTGTCCAATAGCCATAGGACAGGGTAGCTCCGACCCCAGAGTGAGTAGTGAGCATATTAAATGATGTCTTAGTCGTGATACTAATATATATATATATATTGAGGCACAAAATAAATAAAAAGAATATTTAGTTAGATTAGTAAAATTAGATCATGACATCCTCTCTTACTTCATCAATACTTAAAACAAAAAGTAGTACGTGGTGGAATCTGGTGAAGGTTCATTTGATGCCTAAATAAAATTAAAATTAGATTAAATTAAAATTTGTCAACAACCCTTAGGGTTTTAATATTAGTTTTAACAACTCCAAGTCACTATATTCGATTCCCTTTGTTATAGTAATTAATATTAATCAAACATCTATAAATCCCCAGTAGACCCCTCTCACTATTTCTCCAAAATAAAAAAAAAATGGAGAGTGGTAATGCATCAATGGAAAATAATAATGTTAATGATATTGGGCTTATTAATTTCTTGGATGAGGATAATTTTGAACAATTCATTGAGCTTATTAGGGGTGAAACTGCTGATCCTATTGTAAATTTTTGCCCAAACTATGATTGTGAACATATGACAGGTTGTTTTTCCGCAGCCAATGCCCAATTTGAGCCAATATTATCGTCGATGGATTTCTATGATACAACATTGCCAGATCCTATTTCGCTATATAACTGCGAAATCAAGCTGGATAATAATGATGATGAAGACGATGATGAATCTTCTGGCACAACGGCTACCACCAAAATGACTCCAACAAGCAAAGGCACGAGGACTGACCGGTCCAGAACTTTGATTTCGGAGCGCAAAAGGAGAGGAAGAATGAAGGAAAAGCTTTACGCTTTGCGATCCTTAGTTCCTAATATCACAAAGGTATGTATGTACATGCGGATTCAGGATTGAAAGGTTGTGGGTGCTTAAAAAAAATTTTAAAAAAAAGAAATGCTACTGGCGAGATTGAACGCTTGCCAGTGGCTTCGCGCGCCTCTTATTGCAGAGGTTTAAACCAACTCACCTACAGCTACTTTTGTTATATGAGTGCTCATTTAAATTATAATAACATATATATCATATTTTATATATATATATTAAAAATTTTCGAAAATCAATGGATGCTCGAGTACCCGCGTCTGGCTTACTGGGTCCGCCCCTGTATATGTATGTATGTAGTTTCAAATATTGATAAGACCCTTCACCCTCAATCAATTTCATGATGATTTTTTGTTTGATTGGCAGATGGATAAAGCCTCCATCATTGGAGATGCAATATTATACGTACAAGGACTACAAACCAAAGCAAAGAAACTTAAAGTTGAAATAGCAGAGTTTGAGTCATCAAGTGGAATATTTCAAAATGCAAAGAAAATGAATTTCACAACCTATTATCCAGCAATCAAGAGGATAACAAAGGTTTGTTTAGTTTTTACTAAAAACTTGTTAATTACTTATTTTACCAAATAAAACATAAATAAATGGTATATATTGCAGATGGACATTAATCAAGTAGAAGAAAAAGGATTTTACGTGAGATTAATTTGCAACAAAGGGCGACACATTGCAGCTTCTCTTTTCAAAGCTCTTGAGTCTCTCAATGGATTCAATGTTCAAACTTCCAACTTGGCTACTTCTACCAATGATTACATTTTCACCTTCACTCTTTATGTAGGTTACCAAACTTACATTATTCTTGCAATTATTTAGTTTCAACTTTCCACCTCATATATTTAACATCTCAAAATTAAAAAAGTATATATTTTGATACATTTTAGTCTAAACTACAATATTCAAAAATGTTTCTTTATTTTCTTAAATTCAATATGTCAAAGTCAAAATAAGATAAATAAATTGAATGAAGAAAGTAATTATCAATTCATTTGCACCTATTTTTGTTTATTGGAAATCTATGTATAGTGATCCTTTTTGTTGTTGTTTTTTTGTGTGGAAATGGATATGCAGGTGAGAGAATGTCATGAGGTGGACATAAACTTTGGCAATTTGAAGCTATGGATAGCTAGTGCTTTTCTTAATCAAGGGTTTGACTTCGAGACATCTCCGTTGGTCTAATATCATGTTATTATTGTAACTTTCTAAAATACTGAACTATATTTAATTTGTATTATCATTTAGTACTCATTATCCAAACTAAACGGGACTTTTACTTAATGAAGGAACACTTGTTTTGATTTTATCATCATGACTTTATTCTTCCTTATCTTCAAAACAACAATTGATTTACAAATAGATAATGAGGAAATTAAGATCAAATCCTCCCCACTAACCTAGAATTAATTTGAAGTTGTTAAGTTATAAATGTTTAAATTAATAATTTTAATTACATATTAAATGAGTATAATGTTTAGATAATTATTGGGTTCGATCAAATTCATTCTTCAATAATATTGAGTTTGATCGAGAATCCATGCCTCAACGTGCATGCTCGACTTTGTTGTATTTGGAAGCATGAATTTGCAAAGCCAACAAGTAAGGAATGTGGCCAAAATAGTCTCATCTCTAGTGACTCTTCCGTGTCTAGCTCGCCAAAGGGAGCATTCTCCTCGTCAGTCCATGGTCGACATCTCGAGCCATCTCAGAAAGAAATGGAAATCTAGCTGAGTTAACTTTCCACCAAATCAATACATCAAAATCAGAGTTTCCAATTTCAGTTTTTTCATCAAGATATTTAACTAATTCTGACTTGAACTTGCTCCTCCCTTTTCAGATTTATGTTTATGTAATTCCTCCAAAAATATTTTAAATTCTCCTATAGAACTTGAAATAGAAGTACCACCTCAGTTGAAGAAAATTGGCCACTTTTATCATTTGAAATGAGCTTTGTATACTCATTAAACAAAGCTTCCATGTACGTTCGCACACCATTTTCTAAAGCAACCCCTTTTTATCCAAACATCTTCTTAAATGCAAAGCCAAGAGTACTAAACTTGTGACGAGGATCCAAAACACATGGTATGAAAATCATCTTATTCATTTTTTCAGTATCATCCCAATATTTGTCAAATTTCTCTTTCATATTTTCTGCCATTTTAACGAAAACTTGATCTTTATTTGATATCAATTGATTCAAGTAAACACCAACTTGACAAATTTCAAGAAAATGAATATTTGATGCAACATATCGTGATCCATATATCTTCAAAGTAAGATTAAAAAACATTTTAAGAAATTGTGTAATTCTCTTTACGCCTTCCCAGTCACTACTCAAAAGTGTACCTGTAGAATTTTTATCAACAAACTTAATATATAGTGTCAAGCTAATATCACGATCGACGTACTCTACAATTTCCCCTTCATATTCAATAACCCTGCTCAACATCATGTAGGTGGAATTCCACCTTGTAGGAACATCTAATCATAAAGACTTTTTAGCAAGATTTTCATCTTCACAACATTCTTGAAACTTTTTCCACCTAGCAGGAGATTGTCTGATGTAACTCACTGATTGCCTAACTCGTTCAATAGGCACATTTGCTTCTTTTGTACCATCTTGAACAATAAGATTTACAATGAGTCATACACCTTATATGAAGGTGACTACTACCCATTAAGTTGGTCTCCTATTTAGTTAATTTCTTAGAAAACTCAGTTATTGTGACACTATTTGAATCAACACTATCAACTATAATAGTGAAAATTCGATGCAATCCCCACTTATGTAAGCACTTACTAATAGACTTTCCAAGATTTTCACCTCTATAACTAGTGATTGGACAAAAGTTGATAATTCTTTTATGCAAAGTCCAATTTTTATCAATCCAATGAGCAGTAATGACCATATAATTGATTCTCTGTATGAAAGTCCAATTATCAGTGGTTAAATACACCCTTTGTTGTGTTTCCGTAAAAACATCCATCAACTTACATTTTTCTTCATCAAGATGATCAAAACAGTCACAAGTCACAGTGGTACGGGAAGGGATGTGGAAACAAGGTTGTGCTACTTCCACAAATTGTTTAAAACCTTATTTTTCAACAAATCTGAAAGGAAGGCCATCAATAATTATCATACGACGCAAGACCTTTCTACACTTTTCCTAGCCAAGTTTCCATGGAACAACAACTACATCACCATTGTTACCACCTATCATTGGTTGAAATGCTAATCTTGATTGTTTAATATCAATATTATAAGACATCTTTGTGCATTTGTTTATATGAGTAAGCATTGACGTCGTACCATGTTCTTTTGTGTAAGCAAAATACTCTTTCTTACAATAGTTACAAACAACCTTTTCACTTCCTTTAGAATTAGTTTTATAAGTAAAATGATTCCACACACGAGATCTTTTTTTCTTCCTTTCCTTACTTTAGACTCAATAGTTTGACTTTGATCTATTGCATTTGAATTAGAAGCCCCACTTTCACCAATAACCTTATGATATTTTCAGCCATGATACTTTTCACCAAAAATTGCGAAAAGATATAAAAACTAAGTAATTTTATTAAAGAAAGAACTACAAGTACAAACAATAGGTTAAGTGGTATCAAATTTTTACACACTTGACAATAGACACATCACAGTTCACCCAAAGCAACAACTAGAAGACAACAAAGTGCAAACAAATGAGCCAAAGTGCCAAGCTGTGAATTTCTACAGCATTGAACAACTTCCAAAAATTCTTGAGACCACACTAGAAATTTTGATCAAGCTATATCAACAACCATCAAAATTTCCCCTTGATTTCTTGTTTCTTTGTATTTCTAAAACATTAAAGTTTGTAACCATTATTCACATACTTTGGACCAGTAGGAAGTGACTGATCTTAAAGCAAGAACTACAAAGTACAATAACTTACTTATGAGGCGTGAGCAATGAGTGAATGAGAATCTAAGACTAGGGAGCCGACTGCTAGTAGTTCTGTGCAGACTACAGAAGTCGTGGGAACTGAAAGGAGTAAGACTCAAAGTCTCAAGCAGATGAACTTCTAACTTCTGAAATTTGAGCTTGTTCACCTATTAGACAACCAACAAATGAACAAATAACATCTAAACGAGGAAATTTTCCCACCAATGCAGAACAAGGTGCTACTGTGCTACAAATGAAATACACCATCACTAAAATCATACATTAGACTACAAATGCACTGAATTCATATCTCTATCGACATTAGACAATAAATTAGTATGATATAGAGAAGAGACACTATCAGAACTCAAAAGATACAACAAAAGTACAATTGAGCCTGTATGAATCAATATGTCCTTCTTCAGAGTAACTCATGAAGTTCGACTAACAAACCAACATTATGTTCTTCGTTTGAACTTTGAATCATGAAAATAGACATAAACGAATAAAAAAATTGTTGGCTTGAGGTTTCATCGTTAGTCGTTACCTTGTGTCCTCGCCTGAGTGACTGGAGACTGGAGTAGTCGTTGGCTCGTCGCCTCGCCTGAGTTTGGAATTTGGAGAAAATTTTGATTTGGAGTTTGGAATTTGGAGGTCAGAGGAGCGACGACTGGCGAGAATGAAAATAATTCTAAACCCTAAATCCTAAAATTTTAAAACCCTAAGTCCTTAATGTGAGAAGTGAGAATTGTATAATTAGAAAATTTAGGAATAAAAATAATAATAACGGGTCTTATCAGGGTATCGGGTAGCTCGAGATTCTGGCTTACCAACCTGGCCCCGAACCAATTACCCAATAAAATAGATTCCTGAACCGAGCCCCGAACTAATTATCCGATAACCCAAACCGTTAGCCCAATAAACTGAAAATCGATTTGGATTAATGATTTGACCCGATTTTTGCACAGTCCCGATATAGCTTCCTGAAAAGAGGGAATAACAACTCTTTATTTTGTTCACTTTGGTTTTATGGTTAGAACGTAAGCCGCCGGACAGAAACTAAATCGCAAGGTCCTAAATAAGTAAAGCTTTCAGGATTTTGTTTTTAAATTCTTCGTAAGTTTAATTAAGGTGTTGTAATTGTTCCATTAATTTTTGGTCCCTTATGCATCGGCTGTAAAAAGATTTGGACAGTAATCGGGTTAAATCAGGTTTAGCCAAAATAATGTCCCGCAAAGAAACTTATTATATGATTATTATTATACTAGTTTCCG